TATGTGCTAGAATCACGGTATGGAACACCAATTTGAGTCTTTGTAGAGTTGAATTGTATTTATTAGCTCAATATTTAAAAATTTTAATTTTTTTTCAAATTCTATAATTAATGTATTAATATATCTTTAAAATTATTTAAAGCAAAATTAATATGGGCATACTTATATACGTTAATCATAAAAAAAAAAAAAAAAAGGCCACGAAATTTGTTTGGTGGGGGGCCTGGCCTGGACGTATGCTGCAGGCTCGGATCCTATGTTGATGTTGGACTAAGATTAGGCACTCAGGTCAAAATGTCCATATGTGGACTGACCGTGACTCGGAGTTTTTGATTGGATAAGAAAAAGAAGTGTTTTGGGGGGGAAAAGAGAAAAAATGAACAGAAGAAGAAAAAGAAAAAGAAATATATGAGCAAATAAATAAAGGTAATATTTAAAAGGGTGAATCTCATGGGTGGTCACCCAACTTTATTAAAATCAACATTTTGGTCACTCAACTTCTAACCCTAACCAAATAGTCACCTAACTAACTTCTTAAGTTATCCAAGCGTTAATCACCCATATTTAATATTGGGAAATGCTTTAATATTAACCAAAAATGTTAAATCACCATTATGGTGGCCAGGTTAAATGCCATGTCAGATCTTACATGGCATTACCAACATGTGGTGGCACTTATTGGCACTAAAAACATGAAAATTGTAATATAAATCCCTTAAATTTTGGCTGATTTTTTTTTTTACCCTCAATAACAACCATTTTGAAGGCCTTGAGTTTATTCCTTGTTCTCTAATTTTCCAACCACATTTTTTTCCCTCAATGAAACACTAAGACAACCTTTAATCACCTTAAATCCTACTCAATGATTTCGCTATATTGACATTGATCTTAATCAAATTTCTTATGGCATTATAAAATTTTAAGCATTTCACTAATTAAAATGAAATCTCTTTTCATGTGCTAAACTAATTATATAGCAAAAGAATAATAGAAACCAAAAGCTAAAAAATAATAGCAACCAAAAGCTAAAAAAATTGATAGGATTTGGACATTAACCACCAAAAAAAATAAATGGCATTAATTATCATATAATTAGCTGAGAAAATATTTATATCCATAATCCAAATGCTTTTGAAGCAAACACCAATACTCATAAAGAAAGACAAAATTTCTTGGACAAGTATTTCAATTCTAGAGTTTGTACTACAAGCAATCCATCACAATCAAAAATGAGAAAAAAAAAAAAAAAAGAAGGAAAAGAAAAGCTTAAGGAAAGTTCATTGGTTTGTATTTTCTTGTCTTTGGCCCTACTTCTAATATTATTGACATTGCTCAAGAAATTGATTAAGGCTTAAACCCATTTAACATTTTCCAATTAATCCTGAGTGACTAACGCTTGGACAACTTAAGAAGTTAGGTGACCATTTTGTTAGGCTTAGAAGTTGAGTAACCAAAATGTTGATTTTAATAAAGTTGGGTGACCACCCATGATATTCACCCTATTTAAAAAAATAAAGGTAGTAA